ACTTGCAAAGCGAGTGCTCTAACCACTGAGCTACAGGACTTCATGTTACATGTTTATCTCTAAAACTTTGATGCATTTCAATCAAATTCTAATTCTTCTGAGTCTGAAACCTTTTAATGCCCTTACCTCAAGTAGCTCTCCAAGTGGGGGAGAGGGCATTGCCTGATAATTAAACTGTAAAATGATTATTTGGAAGTTTTATCAACTCACAAAGATCTCTTTCGTTTTTGTGTATGGAATAAACATCAAAGAAGTAATTTACTGACACAGAACACATGATGACGTTGACAGAGGCATTACCATCATCTATGTTGCACAAAGACCACACCCACCACCAACAACTTGCATTTATATAGCACCCCTCACGCGGGTATCTTCCCAGAGCTCTTGACAGTGGCGGAGCACAATGTCGAGGAGAGGGGGAAGGTGACTGTAGGCACAGTCAAAGAGGAAAGTCTTCAGGTACAATCTGAAGATGAGGAAAGAGGGGATAAGGCGGAGAGATAAAGGAAGAGTGTTCCAGATTTTTGGGGTGTTGTGGCTGAAAGCGCAGCCAATACTTTTAACAACAACAATAGATTATGCTTGTTTAGCGCCTTTCACACTTAAGAGTGTGATCGTCACCAGCAATATGAATTTGACAAGAACCTACCAGTGGTCAAAGCTGGCTCACTGCATGAGTCAGGTCCGTGCTCCACGGGCATGTGTGCCTCCTGTTTTACAACAGTGATACCAACAATACAACAACAAAATTACATTTGTATAGTGCCTTTCACGTCGGGAGGACGTCCCAAGGAATTGAACAAAACTTATCAGTTAAGCCAGTTAATTCCACCCATTTACCCAGTAAAAACATAACCTGATCGCTGCAGTAAGTATACAGCAAATCCCGTGAGGACTCGCTGACTGAGTCAGGGTGGAGCCCTGCATGCTAGAATTAAATCATAAATCCTCTTAATTAGTAAAAATAAATCTATAAACATTCCTCTGCGAGACGTAGGCTAGGAGTTTAATAGTTCCATTTCCTGAATGTACGTATAAAGCATTTCTGTGATAAATAAGAAAAGGATGCTCATAAAAACACAGGCAAAAGCAGGAAATTACCGAGGAAGCTTTTCATATAAATAGTGCAAGCTCTAGCTCCATTTAGCATAGGAGGCATGAAAGTAAAAGCGTGTAGGCTGTTTAGTTGGTATCCTGTGATTTAGACGTAAGGACTCAAAGTGTCTAGGGTATTCAATTCTGGTGTTGAAAGAGATCATGACAGCAAGATCTAATCTTTTGCTCTCATACATTCACGTATGCTCTTGCAGTGGGGGAAGGTCACTTGAAATCCATCAGAAGTGAAATCCTAAATAACCATTCCTCTCCCTAGCAACTATCTCAGTCTCCTCCTCACCCTTCCCTAATTTAGCTAACAAAGACACAAATTGAATCTGTGATATTGGTTGTGTGAGTAGCTCAGTGTTAACAATGAAATGGGGGGGGGAGGTGGCGTTGCCATATGCAGACATCATAATAATCCTTGCATTTGATATTGTGCCCTTCATGTCAACATGATAAAGCGCTTCACAGAATATACTGAAATATATAGTACTGTGTACTTTGTGAGCAAATGTGGCAAGTTTGATCTTTTTGAAAAGTGCCATGAATGCTTTAATCTCCACCTGAGCATGCAGACCGTATATCTCAATTACCTCATTTTTAGGTCTCATTCAAAGGATGGCACCTCTGACACTGCAGTACATCCCTAGCACTGCATTAGACGTCAGCATAAACTATATGAGTTTGAAGTCCCAATGTGGGGCTTGAACCCACAATCTTCTGACTCAGAGGTGAGAGTGCTCCAATTTGAGCCAGGCTGACATCTAACACCCATGAGGATACCAACATGAGAATATAATCAGAATTCCCATTTGTCCACTGTATTTAAACAAGACAATTGTAGATAAGAAAACAAGACACCACCAGAAATGGCATGGTTTAAGGCAGAACAGTTCAAGCCTTCCTGTGGGACTCCAATTGTGTACTTCATTGTGGAGCCTCCAAAGATTAAATTACTGAGACTGAACAGGTATTGAGCTTTTGCAGTGGAAAACAAAATGTTAATTCTCCCTCTACAACAAAATGGTAAAAAAAAGTCATACATAGCTATAAAGTAATTTGCTGCAAGTAACCTTGATGTAATTTCAGACACAGCTGCCCTAACAATAGCTCTGTGTGTGCATTTACAATCAGTTCCAACTAAAAATGAGAAACGCCCTAATTGTAATCTCTGTTCCTTTACTGCCCTGCAGTGCATGGTAACATAGGCATGTGGTTTGTAATCTGATCTGGTTGAAAGCATGCCCTGGTTCAAGAGAAAGACATCCAGCAGAAATCAGACGTAAACTGCACCAAATGAAATTAAAAACCCCAAATAAAGTCATAGGGATTCAGAAGAGGTAACTGTGTTACTTTACAATATACAGTAAAAATAGATGTGAATGGAAATTTGAAAATTATAATCATGAAATTCTACTTATAAAATGAAACTAACAAGCAAAGCAGAAAAATGCCATCATCATTCACTACAGCAATGCTTTAAAAAAGGTGACGAAATATTGTTCACAGACAGTTGGACTGATGAAACTGCAATCTCCCAGATACTTGCAGGAAGATAGAAAGCAAACAGCTCAATTGTTCAAAGAGGAGTGAAAATACCTGGCTGTCATTAAAAGAACAATGCATTGTCATTGTAACAGTCAACAAAAGAGCCTTTTGCCCTCAAAATGTGCATACCAAACTGACATTAATTATATAGTGTGCTGCAATATAAAATGTAACCCAACCAGTTGGTGGTCCAGCAACATTACCTAATGATCCAAATTAAATAGTAATGTAAACATATAAACACAAAAATAATTCTTTATCTCTGCATTTTTAATGTAATGATGCAGATCCTTTTTACTGAATTGTATTAAATCTTTCGAAAACAATTCCGGATCCTATGAAAGTCACATTTAATGTTTAACCTCATTTGGATTATATCATGTTTCTTTGGTGGAATTCAAGGTTTGGGTTAGTTAAGCAATACACATACTGTAATACTGTGAAATGGGTGCCGAAATTTAACAGGTATTGAAAATCAACCCACTCTAAACTAAACCCCATAGAGTGCTTGTGATTTAGCACGCTATGGATTATGTGGCACAGAGATGTGCCACATAACATAGAGTTGGAATGGAAAATTAATAAATATTGCAGAAGAACAGAAACCACAGTCTTACAACCACAAAACTTTGACAACCGTACAAGTAGCAGAGATTTTCATAATCGCACACAATACAAGAAGGATATTCTCATGGGAAACATCATCAATGCAGAGTCATGATAGAACCCTCACCCTAATGCAGCTACAGTTTTAAGATGCAGTAATGCCAGATTATGATAATGGCTGTGTTTTTTAATATTCATAATAATAATCCTAGCATTTAATATAGCGCTTTTCACGTCTTCTATATGTCTCAAACCACTTCACAGAATATACTGTAAAGTAAATTGACTGTATATTTGCAGGCAAAATATACATCCATATACTTATAATTTATCAAAATACCTAGGTATGTAAAATGGGTACAGTTTGAAAGTAACATTCTTAACAGCAATCAAACATCCCTTTAAAACAATCTATTATTGGAATTATGAATATCAAAGGACACTGAAGCACAGCATCAGCTTCCTTCCAATGTGCTATTTAGAAGCCTTGATATACAAACTAGGACATATTAAAGCAACTTGCCAATAAGGTTACCTCAAAATTCTACAAATAAACTGAGAAATTATTTACTCAGGTATGCATTTTGGTAGGTTTTCAAGTTGATATATTAATGACAACAACTTGCATTTATAATAGCGCCCCTCATGCAGGGTAGCGTCCCAGAGCACTTGAAGGTAACAATGTACCAATGTAACTATATTTAAGTAAAAATAAAAATGACATTATAGCTTTTCATTAAAAATATAATTGTAAACCAATGCGATTGTTACAAATAATAACATTTGTAACATGAATTAAAGCTATGTTTACTATTGTTCATTAGGTATTGTTACACAAGTGAACTTTCGTAGGTCATTGGACTGCACTGAGTCACAGAATCACCCAACTTCCTTCCAATATGGTACTTAGAAGCCTTGATATACAAGCTGTGGGCACATGAAAAGAACCGGTTATAAAGTGCACAGGCTTTGGATTTTCCAATAAACCCTATGAAGTGCTTTGAAATGCACTTCCAACATGAAAGGTGCTATGTTAAATGAAAGGATCATTATTAGGAATTGCTCAAAAGGGTTAACCAACACCAAATTGATAGATTACTGTTTAGGTCTCGTCTATTTGCCTCAGTTATCTTTCTCAGGGCACACAGATTTTGGAATGCTAGGTTTATTATTAAACATACAGTCAAATCATTGAATAAAACAATCACATTTTGGTTTGGGTGGTCTTTAGAGACATGTGATTAGTTTAAAGCAGATTCATTAAATCTATTTAATCTAAAACAATCACTAATATGTATGATCTTTGAGACAGGTTTAACGGTATAGTTGCAGACCTATTTCCCTAACACCTTAAATAAAGATATGTTCTGGCAAAACCTTCATTGAAAATGGCACTGGCAGTACATTTTTGTAAAGAAAACCAATGTTGAAAATTATACTGATTTTTTTTAATTCCTGAAATTTATATTTTCACTCATTTAAAGAGACGCTATTGCCAGTCAATATATCAGCTGAATGTTTGGCTCGATTGCATGCTGAGCTGACAGATATATTTCCAAGCTGCTAAAGGTAAAATTAATGCATTCTAGAACTTGCAGATATAGAGCTCCAATTCCAATTTACAAGGATGAATGTATAGTATTAAAGCCAATATTTAAGTTATAAAATGAACAAACATCATCACTTCTGAACAGATTCCACTGCTAAATGCTATACAGCAATAATAAAATTTCAGTGTTTACCAAAGCTGAATGGGTCGGTTTACTTGTCTCCTCACGAACCAAGCTCTGAACTGTATTATCCACAGATGTTTGCTGTATCTGCTGTTTGCAAATATAACCACAATTTCTCTCAACGACAGTCCGCAAACCTTCAAACAGAATGATACTGGTAGTACAGCCCATTGCAACTGAATGTGAAGCTTTACATTATCAACAGTGCTTGCTCCATGTGGTTCCCTGTCTGCTAAGATTCTTCAGCAAGGCAAATCGTTATGCACTATGCATTGCTCCCCCATACGATAAAGCAGCTAAATTTCTTCGGAACCTGCTGGCAAAATGAGAAGCTTTCTCTCCCTCTTTCCCCCGTTTAGTCTCCTTTAACTAGATAGAACAGCGACACTTTTCCAGAAACAGATCGAACAACAAACAGACTCAGAGATGGAAGGCTTCGGAATAAAATCACAGGCAGGCACACTGCAGTAAACAAACAAGCTGGCAAGAGACAAGGCTTTCCTCGAGGAATTCAAAATGCAACAGCTTTAGTGAGCATCAAACCAAAGCAAAAAATTTGTATTTTGACCGAGTGATGTAGCCTGTTCTCCGATGCAACTAAAATCACTGTCTCCCAGAGATGTTCAGAGATGATGCAAACACTGCCTGTGCCTCTGCATCTACCTCAGTTTGGCTGCTGTGACGATCAGATCCCAGCAAGCTTTGCAGAATTTTAATATGAACCTACATCTCCATCTCTTTTGCTGACCTAAATGCACAGCCATTCCCGATTTTCAATACCACTGGGAAAGGTTTGCAAATGGGGCTGAAGGAAATTGATGCAAATAAATAACTCTGCAGCTGTTATGCAAGGATGTGAGCAATTTACAGTATTTTTTTCTCTCCCTCCCACCCAAACCTATTCAAACAAAATAAAATGTGGAAGCATTTCTCTTTTCATGAACCACCATCTTTGGAGGCAAGTACCTATTTTTTTTAAAAAAACAAAAAACAGAAGTGCCAACATTCATTGGAATATTGTATAGCACTTTTATAGCAACTTCATTGCAAAAAAATTTACAACTAGCTAAACTAGTTACATTACTTATATTTGTGAAATCCTTTTCAGTTTCACTCCTTCTCTCCTGCAGGTTCCAGTTGGGCCCAGAAGATAGTCTCAGGTTTATAGAAGATATGACACTCTGACTGATTTTGTTACCCTCTCATTCTTCAGTCCAGACCCAGTGGCCAATTGTTGAGCTCTACAAGTCCTCTGCTATCAGATAAGGCAGTCACCCATGATCCTGTTTTAAGCTGATATTAAAATGGGTGTGTGACACTGTTTCAAAGAGGAAGAAGGCATTCCTCTGGTGTCCTGACCAATATGTCTCTCATCTAAATTCAGTAAAATACTCATTTATTGGTTATTGCTGGTACAGATTAGCTGACCCCACAAACAGACTGAGAGATGGAAGGCTTCGGAATAAAATCACAGGCAGCTAATCTGACCCCACTTGCATCAGTCACTACAATTCAAATTTAACTCATTGTGTGAAATGTGTTGAAATTATATGATTCAAAATGAAAGTACAGGACTCTTAGCTAAATTAACACAGGCTGATATTTACTCCTAGGAGCTCTCTGGACCACATGGCTTAGTACCCCATCAAATACTGACCAAAGTACCCACTATATCAGTGAGGGCAGCCCACAATATTTTGACAAGAAATGAACAGCTTTCTCAGTCAAAATATTTTCTGTGTGCTTTAAGATGATTATCGACATATACAGAGAGTACTAAATTCCAATCCAAAAGGAGAAATGATGCTGGTTGCTCGTACCGAGGATCCAGTGAGAAACTCACGCAATGCACAACATGGTCGATTGCACAACTCATTCATGTTAATTTGTTCATTCAAATGTAAAAGCAGTTGGATGGGTTGAGCATAACAGGGACTGAAACCAAATCGAGAGAAAAAGAAGTTTAATAGAATGTTTACAAATGAAACAAAAATCCCCATCTTGAATACTGTAATATCCAATGGACAATCTCATCTATAAGCACACTCAGGTTAAAGAAATGACAAATATTTATTTGTGAGTTTTCAGGAAGATTCTAATTGCATCCCACTGCTATGATAACACCAGCTATAATTCAAAGGTCTGCAAATTAAACCTGTAGCCCCTTACAAATGCAAGCAAACAGTCAGGAATTCACCTTACATGAATAAACAAAACTAAGGAAACAGATCTGTGATAAACATTCAGTGAGGGAATGAATGCCACCTCATCTCCCTAGACAGATATCTGGGAAACATAACCAAGGTAACCTGGAATTTCGCTGCAGGCGGAAAGGTTTTCAGGTGCTATTTACAAAACCAATAGACAAATAAGACTAACCTAATCTTGGCTACAACACAGTGGTTCAGTGGATTACAACAGTTCATTTCACATGTGGATAGCAGGTTGTTCAACCACATACAGTAACTTATTCAAGGTGACAATCTCAAGAAAAGGTGTCAGGGAGACTTGCTGTTTGAACAGTCTGCTTCAAAAACCTATGTTATTGAGATTCAGCAAATCCAGTTTTAAGATTCAAATTTCCATGTGTGGGTGGACCTTAACTAGTTCAACAGTCCTAAGCTTTGCTTCTCCCAGTGGCATTGCTTCTCTGCATGGCATGATACTGATTCAATCCTTGCTTTGTGCTAAATTAGACAATCTCTGTTGGGATAGTCGTGGAGGCCTCAATTGGCCTCAATTACAATTGGCCTCAATGTCTGAGGTTTGGGGTGGCAGGTGAGTTAAAAGTCAGGATCCCAGTCCTGATCACTGATGGGAAAAAGAGAGAGAAAAAAAGAGAATCGATTTGTGGATAAGTTAATGAATTTGATGTAACTCCCAATCATAAAGACTTGTACTCATTGTCTATGCTCTGATTGGAAAAAATAGCTATTTGGGGAAAGAATCAAAACTACTCATGGAGAAAGTGAAACTTCAGCACGAGAGACCACCTTCAGGAAAGCAGAAAAGAAGGGGAAGTTTGGCCCCTGCCTATCCCATCACACAGCCTATTAAACTGGAATATCAGTTCTGACCTCTGCAAAAGGGCAGTAACCTTGTTAAATTAAGGCTTTTGCCTCGAGGATTATTTAGTTACAAGTTTCCAACTACAGGCATTTGACTCTCTATCGAAGTGTCCCTTTTGTACCAATGAATGGTAGTGTGTTTTAAAACGTTGAGCCTCAGGTCACAAATGGCTATTTTCTGAATGTGATGCTACAATATATTTTGCGAAGCGCTGTGAGATGTCTCGAAGACATGATAAGGCGCTATATCAAATGCAAGGATTACTATTATTACTACACATGACTGTAGTAATGATTGCTACACATGACAGGTCTGTTGCTGTATGAATTCCCTACATCAAAATTTTGCAGTGCATTATATAGCCTTAACCAAACTTGAAATAGCAAGACAGATTCTAACTTAAACTGCTGAATTGAACAAAAACAGCTACTCTCTACAATCTCATTAATTCTACTGTGTGAATGAAAGTTTGTTATGACTAACATTTTATTTATTTTCAGATGGAACCACAAACTATAAAAGAGTCAATACTATAAACATGGGGGTGGGAGGGTGATATCCAAGTTAAATACAAGATTGTAATAAAACAGGAAAAAAAAATCCTTTTAATTTGGTTTTAACTCACTTTAGTTGGTCAAAGTTGATCAGTGCTGAATCTGACTCGAACACGTAGTCGGTTTCCACCATTTAAATTTGCAGTACTGAATTTAGTACCATAATTTAACTACTGAGTCATTTAGTTTTACTGTCTTTTTGCAACACAAGACAGTGAAATGCTATAAATTAATCACAGTAAACTAAACTCCTAATAATAATGTTGTGCTGTGAACATTCCAGCCACATGTATTTACAGTAAACTTAACTCCTAGGGAAAAGGACTCGGTGACAAGTTATCAGAACTGGCGAGTTAGGCATATGTTTACATAAATAAATGTGGCCGGGATATTGACAGCATGATGATTTAAGTGGTGGTGACAAGACTGGGTCAAGTTATGAGGAGTTTACTTAGTTTACTTATATATGTGCCTAACTCACCACTCCTGATAATTCGACACTGAAACATTTTCCCTTGGAGCAACAAGTTATCAGAAGTTTACTATATATTAATATTTGACAAACACAACATACATTATATTGTACTACCTGCACATCACTAGCATCTGTTCACTGTTCTAGTGCAGTCATTTGACACAGTCAAAACCAAAGTACTCTTCATCATTATTCTCAACCTTGCCTACAACAGGCAGTTTCCATACGTCCTCCTGAAAGTTGTCTTAATATTTTTTAAAGGTCCGCTGCAAAAATATTTTTAATTCCAATCTTTATATACCCATATCAGCCTGTCCACTCCCTCCATTCAGCAGGCTATGGGCTGCTCCACACCCCCGCCTGACCTGCCCCATTATCCGCAGTCGGGCCTTCAATCTGCCTCCACCCTTTGGAACTCCATCTAACAGTCCCTTCGCCTCACTCCCTCCTTTACCTCTTTCAAGCACATCTCAAGACCCTCCTATTCAACCCTACCTTCGGCCACCCTCCTACCCTTCACCCTCCCTTATCCCAATCCTCCATGCTCAGGTCCATATCCCTAACTGTCCAGTGCCTGGGGACATCCTCCTGATGTGAAAGGCGCTATACAAATGTAAATTTGTATTTATATTGTTGCAGGCTGTTAAAACCATACTTGCCAACTTCTCCTTCCACTCACGAGCTTAAGTCTGCAGACATTCAGACACCTAGGTTTCCAAGAACTTTATTGACAGCAACTTTGAATGATCCATCCATTTCTATACCCAGCAACAACAACAAATTACATTTGTATAGTTACATTTTCACGTCAGGAGGACGTCCCAAGGTGCTGGACAGTCACGGATTTGCACCTGATCTGGGGGTTGGGATCAGGAGGAGTGGAGAGCAGGGTGTGCAGGGCTAGGAAGGTGACACGGTCAAAGTAGAGGAGCAGCTCAGAAAGTTCATTAAGAGCTTCATGCATTACAGCAGGGGATGTGTTTGTTTGCCAGGTCAATCAAAATTGTAACTTGTGAACTTGGGCAGTATCAGAAATGAGCTCTGGCATTAAATATCTCTTTTCTGGATTAACACCGGATCTCCTCCAC